TGCAGCTTGCACCATAAAATATCACCTTACACATAACGCCTGCGTACAATCCTGTTGATCTATTATTTTAGACCTAAATGAATGGGCCTGTTTTTCATCGGCATTTGGCAACCATTTTTTGAAAGGATGGGTGGTTTAACTCGATTAGAAGAAATGATTTTTATGCATTTTTTTTACATCTAGGCAATGCAAAAATACATATTATCGAGAGGTTGTCTGTATGTACACCTCTACTGTATTTTCATCTCGAGATCCACAAAAGCTAAGAGACTGAAACTTGGGGAACTTAATTTACACGCATGCACAGGCTCCTATCTCTAAAATAAGCGCTCTTATCCACGTGGTACCCGCGTTGGGGATGTTTCTAAGAGGATATTCCATGTTCACGTACAATCAGGTGTCTCCAAAAAACCCAGTCCCCAGATGTGCGTGGTTCCCAACATACGGACTCGTGAAAATTTTTGGCAGATAAGTTGCTAACTCGGGAACCAGAAAAGCTAGAAAGCTGAAATTTTAAGGAGATGTTTTCTGGCAGTCGTGGTGATTCGTCTCAATTCTGTTAGCTTGAAGCATTTGCCAGAAAAACTAGTCCGTCAGCGACAAACACTAGGAAGCGGCGGCGGGGGAGGGAGAGGGGAGAGGGAAGAGGAGCTACGCAAAAAATGCATCTTCGCACCGGTAGTCGATGCGCTGGCCAGTTATTTATGGAATACGATGGCAGCTTGGTAGTATGCCAATGTAAATGACGTAGAGCCACCTTTGGCTTTTAAGAAGCTACCTCAACAAGAAGCTACCGACGCTTGTGCCAGCTTCCGAATATCGTTGACAAAAGGCTGACATCAATTTTAACTAATAATTTGCTTCTCAGACTCTGCAACCCGCAATATTTCCTGTTACTTTGTCCAATTCTACACCGAATTTGATGTTTATTTTTTTCTCCTAAAATGGTGGAATAGAGAAGAATTGGCCTTAATTGTCATGTGTCGGAGGGCATTTTACGATGCAGCCTCTGTGTGTTTCATCCCTTAGCTGTAAAAACAGACCGAGCAATGCATGTGGATAGGAGCGGAAATTATCAGTACAACCTCCTAACCGCCATGTTCTGAACAGTCATGTGGATTGTCACCTCAGTGGTTCTCTCGTTAGAATTACTTGGCCGAATCACTTTAGCAGTGCTGAGATGTGTTTGATGTATTGGAACATTATCTCGTCTCGAATACTGTTAAATTAGGGTAGGATATCTTCACAAACCAGGTAGAGCTATGCTCATGAATTATGGAAAAAGGATCGATGCTGGTATAAGATGCTGTTTACAGGGAGGACAAGCGATTTCGCCGAATTTGCCCAAATCGGAATTGTAAAACAGTCATTGAGAAGCTCGGCGGATGCAATCACGTTCAGTGTATGCAGTGTAAAGTGCACTTCTGCTGGGAATGCGAGTATTTCACTGTAAGTTTTTATTTTTCCGCTTAAATTTTGCTGAATTTTTATGAACTGCTTTCGTTTGAGAGCCTTTTTTTTAATAATTTTCATGATTTATCAGTTCTTTTCACTTTATATCTTGCTCGTTAGATCTGCCTTTCCCTCCCTCCTCCACCCACTTCTCTCCAGCACCGGCACAGACACCAGTGCTGCAAAAAACCGGGTCTAAAGCTAAAACAGAAGCCTAAAGTAATTGTTGAGGCTACAGGAGAGAAAGCGGAGCAGGCAAAGATATTACTTA